CAGAGTAATAATGGAATGGGGCACGTCATTTGAAAAAACCACAAGCATTTCTTAACTTTAGTCTTAGCATATTAGATAATATAAGGAGGTGTGACAAAAACGATTCTTAAATTTTTTTCAATTTATCCCCGAATTCATTTATTACTGTTTTCTCAATAGATAAACAATATAAATTTATTGTTTCCACATATTTGAACTCTTGTTGCATTTGACAGGTATGAAGCAGAGTTGGTGAAATTGGTTGTCCGAAAAGTGTTGAGTGAACTGAAGAAAAAGTTTGAATTGGTTACTTCTAAGAATTTGGTCGGAATTGATAGTCATGTGAAGAATGTTATGGGACTTATGGATAATAATTCTCATGCCCCCCTATTTGTTGGCATCCATGGAATGGGAGGCATTGGTAAAACTACTCTTGCTAAAACCATCTACAACAAGCTCTCCAATCAATTTGAGCATCTTAGCTTCATTGCTGATATAAGGGAATCATGGAAGCGTAATGGCGCACATTACTTACAGAGTAAGCTAATCAATGATATATCGAAGCAAGAAATTAAAGTTGATAATGAGGATGAAGGGACTAACTTCATCTCTTTCATGTTTAAAGATAAAAAGGTTCTCGTTCTTCTTGATGATGTGGATAATGTCGATCAGGTGAAGTGTTTGGCTAGTAATCATGATTGGTTTTCTTCGGGAAGTAGAATCATTATTACTGCCAGAAACAAGAGGGTTCTTGAAGTAGCTGGGGTGGACCACAACTATGAACTTATGGAATTGGATTACGATCAATCTTTGATTCTGTTTAGCAAACATGCGTTTCGAAGGGACTTCCCTCCAAGTGAATTTGAGGGCCTCACTCGTAAAGTTGTATCCACCACCGGAGGACTTCCCTTATCCCTTAAGGTTTTAGGTTCATTATTGTGCGGAAAAGAGTCAAAAGAATGGAGAGATATAATAAAGAAGTTGAAAAAGGTCCCTCCTATAGAAGTGCAAAAAAAGTTAAGGATAAGTTACAAAGCATTAGACTATGAACAAAAACAAATTTTTTTGGATATCGCTTGCTTTCTCATTGGCACTGACAGGAGAATCGCATTCTACATGTGGGACGCTTGTGACTTTTTTCCAGGGGAGAATATTGAAGTATTGAGATTTATGTCATTAATAAAAATTGGAGATAATCATGAGCTCCGAATGCATGACCAATTGCGAGATCTTGGTAGGACAATCGTTCGCGAAGAAAACCAGCGAGAGCCTTGGCGCCGTAGTAGGTTATGGGACTCCGAGGAAGCCTCAAAAGTGCTTAAGAGAAATAAGGTAACCGTTTTTCTTCTTTTGTTCCCTTGGTCCATGTTCTACTGTTAGAGTAGTGTTGGTCCTCTACTTGGTGCTTGCTCTAGTGAACATAGAACCTTCTAATATTAGTATCCTCGCATCGTTTCGTTGACTTGATTAGAAAGTAGGAGGTTGCTCTCTCTTAGTAAGTATCGCGGCTTATATGAGATTTTTCTTAAACAAGTGTATATTATGAAGTTATCTCCAAGAATGGGGTACTTTCAAATTTTTTAGATACTTGACAGGGGTTGTCGCGACCCACCCTTTTTTTTTGCAAGGAAGAAATGGTGCCAACTTGGAATGCGCTAAGTCTAGGTCTGGAACTTAACTCGGACTCTCACAAGCCCATACCATATCGCAACTTGTGATTTAGGTTTTTAACCTGCAAGTGATTTTTATCAAGGAATCGCCACTAATCAGTTTATGGTGGGTCAATTAGATACTAAAGGAAGGCAATGGGAGAATTGCCTTACTTCTGTGAACCAGAGATTAAATGAGTTCGAGGACTTGGTTACACTAGTTAAGTGACTGGTGCCCTTTCGGTACCTTTCATCCTATTCATTTCAGAAAAAAACATTTATCAGGCGATTTGGATTGATTTTAGGACTTGTCTCTTAATATGTGAGGTGATCAAGCGAGCGCACAATCATAAAATTAACAACCAGTAGTTAATATAAATATGCAACCTAGGGTTCTAATCCTAACTAGGGCAATGACATTCAACACATGAGAATTTATGCAATCATATACTAATTAGAAATCACATGCACAATAACAATACATCAATAATAAAAATAACATCCAAAATCCTACTATATACCTCTATAAGCTTATCTAATCAAACAATTTGCGTAATTTAGAAAATTATTCAAAAAAAAACTAATTGCTTGTAGTGTTATCCGAGATTTTTCTTGAAGTCTATATTATGAAAAGATCTTGGATTTCTATAATTGCTTCATTTACATCTTCGACACACGCAGTAAGTAACTTGACTATGCTACTATAAACCATAAGTACTCAGGATATATAAATCATAGAATTATCATCTCTAGATATTAAAATTAATATAATAGGACTAACAATGCTAGCATTTCTTATGAAATTTTAGTAATTATTTCATAATGGAGAATGGAAGGGATACTTATCTTATGTAATATTACATTAGGAATTCCATTTGCCAATATTCATAGGACAAGGACTGATTTAAAACTTACCGAATAAGATAGGAATAGAAATTTCTTATATATGTGTATTTTATGCAATAACCATCAAAAAGAGAAATGTATTACTTTTTCTCCATAAAAAGTCCAAGAGATAAATACTCTAACACTCTATTTTGTACAATTAAGTACGTGAGTGTAATTGCATTTGTGAAATTAATCATAATTTTGACTCTACTACTTTTAATCCGTCATTTGGTTTGACTCAAGTTGTTGCTTAAAAGACTAGCACTTATTTGCAATCTCAATGTGCGACCCGTGTATAATCTCAAGAGCCAATTCATATATTAACAAATTCAAAGCCAATGCCTGTTTATTATTCTTTCATACTACATGATTAAATAAACTAAACTAACCAAAAGATAAATGAATATGCTATATATTTTATATACAAATAAAATGGTATAGCTAAATTTTACAACTAAAATGGAACATTATTATATAATTATTTCAGTATTTTTGCATGACTCCATTTCACTCTTCATCCATGGTACCATCATAAAAAGAAGCCCAGCCTTTTGCATATGGGACGAAAATAACATTACCTTTCAACCTCATCCTTTAAATAATGGAACAAAAATAGCACCTGCCATCAATTTTGCCTATTCTCACTTTAAATTGCCTCGTGTCATCCTACATAGCTCATTGTACGAACATGCACAATGAACCAGGTTAATCATGACCACAAATGACTTCTTCTTTTCTTACAGAAAGCTAGAAATTTTGTAAGAAAGATTAAAAAATAAAACACAATATCTTTTTTTGGTGTGTGTTGACATGGCTCACTGTATACGTTAGCGTAGTGAGCAATGTAGGGTACCCATGGCGATTTAACGATAATAATGGATGAAATTTGTAATATGTGTCAGCTTTGTTCTATGGTTAAATGGTTGGGCTATTTTTATTACTTTTGAAGGTTATGTTATTTTTGTCATAGATGCCAAAGGTTAGGCTTTATAGATGTTTTAAAGGTTTTGCTACTTTTGTCCCAAGTACAAACGGTTGGGCTTATTTCGGGATTTGGCCAAACTCTAGCTACCGATTTTTTAAGGTGAAAAAAGTTACACGCCACACAAAGAAGTCTTGAAAATAGATAGGGTATCTTGATATTTTGAGAGGAAGGTTTATGGGGGAAATGACTAATGTAAGTAGATTACTTCTGCTGAAGATTTCTTTCTTTTTTTTTTTTTTGTAGTTACTCTTCTCTTGGATTCCTTTTAGGTATTGAGATCTGATTCCTTTCTAGATTATTATGTCAATCACCTATGAGTATCCATGAAATCTTTCAACATTCTGAAGTATAATAACAAAATTTTCTGGTTCGGAGAAACTGAAATGTGGAAATACAGGAACTTTCTGTTTTACTTCTTGACTTCTTATGCAAAAGTGAATTTTTTTTTGTGAAAGCTTGCTACACATTTGCTTCTCAAGAATAACTATTCTATTTCCAATCTACTCTGATGAAGCAATTATTCCCTATTTGGTTCAAAAATGGATTAGAAATTACTATTCTCTCAAAATCAGGAATAGTTATTCCTGGGGGGCCAAGGAAAAGCTATTCCATGGAGGCTTGTAGCCAAGAATTGCTTCAATTTTCACATTTCTAAAAATGCTTTGCAATTTCTACAATTAATTTTTTTTAATATACATCAAAAGTTATTAGGGTCTGTTTATTATATTTATTATACTTGAGTACTCAGTTATTTATGATTATGATTATATCAAATTGTAATCTATAGTTAAACTAAAATTTATGATAAAATAATAAGTTGTAGAGAATATTAATATAACCAATATTATTGTCTTAGTTATTTATAATTAGAAAATAATTAATTAACAATATTTCAAGTTACTATTAGTAAAATAATAACTACATAATATATTAATATTACTACTATCACAATATTCAATTTCTTGTAATTAGTTATTACTCCAATGGAAAATAAGAGTATATGTTATTTTTTTTATTAGTCGCGTAAGTAGCACAATCAAGTAATATGCACAAAATTAATATGAAATTTACATAGAGAAAAAAATATATTTCAATTAAAATTGATCAAATCAACTTTTGATTTTGCACATTGCAATTTGATTAAATTCCCTGCATTGCATGCTTGTCTCAACTAAAAAAAGAAAAAACTAGCATGTTAATGAAGCTACACTACCGAAAAGAAGAAGATTACATGTTGCAAAGTTTTTACTCTGAATGAGCCATTACATCATCATTCTTTTTAAGATCAGAATGCGTATGGCCAACTTTCAAAATGGAAGTTGACATCCTTCACTTTGTTAGCCTTCATAAATATTGTTTATTGGCGTAAAAACAAAAAGCATATCTTCACATTAATGGTCTCTTGAACACATTAATGCACGTCAATAGCAATTTGAACAAATAATATTAGATTACTTTAGTTGGATTTAGTATTAATGAACGTCGATTCTTGCTTATAGGGAACGAACAAGATTGAGGCCATTGATCTAAGTGAAGGCAGCTCAGAAGGCTTCGGCAAAACAACTGAGCGAGATGGCAACATTTACACAGCAAAACAATTCAAAAAATTGACCAGTCTAAGATTCCTTTACATGAAAGGGGCACATCTCAGTGGAGATTTTAAGGACTCAATTGAGGAGTTAAGATGGCTTCGATGGCCATATTGTCGTGTGAATTTTAAAGTAAACAATTTTCACATAAAGGAATTAGTTGTACTCGAATTGTCATACAGCAAGATAAATGAGAAATGGAGAGGATGGAGTTCTTTCATGGTAAGAACAAGTTTTTTTTTTCTTCCTTTTATGCTTTCTTTTGAATCTTAATCATTCTAGACTAATCCCTTGACAATCATTATTATTTTTATTTTACCAGATGGCAGAGAAGCTCAAATATCTCGATCTCGCGTATTGTGAATTCTTGGAAAATACGGTCTTCCTCTCAGCTTTTAAGCATTTGGAGGTTCTCATCCTCACAAGTTGTCAGAGACTGAAGCAGATCGATCCTTCAATTGGAGACGTGAAGGCCCTCCTTCGCTTAGAGTTGGGCGGGTGTGGGAGCCTCATGGAGCTTCCAGCGGAAATAGAGTCTTTGGAGAATCTAGAGATTCTGAAGATTTCCATGACCGGTATAGAAGAATTACCCAAGGGTATTGGGAGGCTGAGAAAGCTTCGAGAGTTAGATGCTTGGAATTGCAGGAATCTGAAAGGGGAAATGCCGGAAAGCATGTGCAATCTTTCTTCCCTACAAAATCTTGATGTTCGTTGCTGCTGGGGGCTCCAATCGCTGCCGGACCTTCTTCCTTCCAGCTTAACAGATTTGGGCGTCAGCTGTCTTGGTTGCAAATTGCCCTCACTTTCCCACCTAACCGATCTCAAGCAACTACGAGTTTTGGCATGTGGATGCATCCAAGGGCTTCCATCAACACCAGTAAAGAATTCAGAATGCTCCCGACCGATGGATGTTGAAGAATCAGAATTACCACAATCCCTAAACACCCCCTTCAAGTTGGAAATCTTGAATGTCTGTGGCTGTCGATCTATCGAAACGCTGGACGTTTCACAGTTTATCCAACTAAGGACGTTATACGTCGGAGAATGTGAGAATCTACTTGAAGTTCTAGGTCTTGACAGATTGATATATTTGGAAAGCTTGGCTGTCAGATATTGCGAAAACTTAGCTAAAATTCAAGGCCTCGATACGTTGGAGTTTTTGGAAAGCCTAGATATCTCTGAGTGCACTTCCATTAAAAGGCTAGACCTTCCAAAATCCGGGAGGCTGAAGATCTTAAAAGCTGAATACTGCAAAGAATTAGCCGAAATTCAAGGCCTCGATATGTTGGAGTTTTTGGAAAGCCTGGATATCTCTAAGTGCGCCTCCATTGAAAGGCTAGACCTTCCAAAATCCGGGAGGCTGAAGATATTAGATGCTGTTGACTGCATAAACTTAGCCGAAATTCAAGGCCTCGATATGTTAAAGTTTTTGGAAAGCCTGGATATCTCTGGAACCAAGCCACTCAAAACAATTCCAGAGTTATCTGGAACGCGGATTTATCAAAATTACGATGACAAGTCATTTGGTTATGCCGGAAATGGATCAAAGTATATAAATTTCAAATTACGAGTAAATCTTCAATGTGGGGTTGGGCAAAACCTCAAATGTGTGTTTTGGCAAAATGATTTCTATCATGCCAGTAACGAAAATAGATGAAAAGTTTTTCTAAGTGCATCGTTTGTCATAAGTCTTCGGGTAGGATCCTCCATCCTATGCAGAAAAATAAAGATTTTCGATGTTTGATTGATTCTGGAATGCTGGAGGTACTGAATAAAAACTGATGTATGCAGGTATTTCATAGCATGCCAAAGGTCATTGTGTAGGTCGAGAAATGCTAAATGAAGGACCCTATATGGCAGTCCTTCTAACGTGAGGTTTTAGTTTGCTCTGCACTCATCATGCAGTTCATGACTGGATGTTTCTAAGGTACCCTTACGAGTGAGTTTACGGTGCAAAAGGAGCATGTTGATAGGGCATCCCTTCGTATGCATACGCTAATGACTTGGGATAAAAATTTTCCAACCATTGTGTTCCACACACTTTATCTCACAGAACTGTCTGCATTAGCTAATTAAGGTAATCGTATTGGTCTAGAAAAGCTAAATGCAAGAACAAGCTCTTCTCCTAGTGGTGTGGTTGTGAGTGAACTAGCAAACAGGGCAGAAGCAAAAGCATCGTGAATTATTTGGATCCATCGAGAAAATTGCAGTTCGAATTTTTCTGACTATGGATCCATGTTCATTTGGTTTGAATCCAGGATATCCCTAGTCCAAGGCTAATAATAGATTATCCCAAAGAATGAATCTTGATGTTTGTAGAGTTGGTATAGCCATCTGTCATATACCTGAACTTTTGAGCCAAGCAAGACAATTTTTTTTTGGTCGAAACCAAGCAAGACATTAACTAGAATGTCTTTTGACATAATCAACTGTTCTGTGAAATAATCCCTTATATTGTGCATAAACTCTTGTTAGTGCATTTACTTGTTGAAAATAAAAACAGAGGAAGCAATTCCATAAGTTTCCTGAGGAAACTTTTCGGTATCCTATATGCCATTTGAAACTGTCTTACATTAATTCTAATGCATGAATAGCACATAATGATAACGAAAAGAATCATACTATGTCCCACAAAAGCAAGAAACTTGAGTTGAATTCACTATGTTAATTTGATCAAGGCTTCTGTGGTTGATGATGTTAGATGTCCCATTAGTTCGATCCAAAGAGTTCAAAAAGAACATCAAGTATGACAAACAGAGATCCGTAAACTTCGGAGTATTATTACTAGTTCGTTGATCTTAGTTGCTGAATTGATTCCATCTGACTCACTGGCAGGATTCAGTTATCATTCCACAGCATGATGTAAATGCTGAAATATCCAAGAGAGCTTTCGCAAGGCGTTTCTAAAAGGAATCGAAATCATAAATGGATCAGGAGCTCGATGTTCCAAGAACTTCTTCAAACCTTGACAATGCATCCTTGGGTAATGGTTGTTAGCATGTTGTCATCCCACATTGCCCTCATTATATTTGGCAGAAGCTTTGCGGAGCTGAGACTGTCAACCTCCACTCCTGTAATCAAGTCTGTCTTTCGGTCTCTCTCTCTCTCTCTCTCTTCTTATTTTCTCTCCCATGTGTTCCTCTCCTACAATTTTCTCCGCATACTCTTGGAGTCGCTAGCTTCTCAGGTTCGGCTCTCGTTCGGCGTTCTTTTGCGACCTAATGGGTGGTCGACTCGGTTTTCTGAAGTTTACTCGATTTTCGATTGGCAGGTGAAGATGGTGGAGTGAAATCCTGAGAAGAATTTGCTGGCGATGGTTACGGAGGACTCGAAGGTGGTGCTTCATCGCTTCAATTGGCAGAGGCTGTGGACAGTCTCTCTTGGTAATTGCTTTGACTAGAGAAAGTTCTCTTGTTTATTCAATGTGTTCGTTTCTTCAATGATGGCTTGGTGTGCCCTTTGAGTCATTGACCTTATCTCGTTTTACTTCTTTCGCTTTTCCTAAATGTGCTGCGCTCCCTTTTCGCAAGAGGAACCACTGTAATTGCCAATCTAGCTTGATTTGCGTTCGATGGCGGACAAATATAGAGGTGAAGTGCTTGAAAGTCTAATTGAGAACATGATGTCGAACTAAGGAGTTGGTGTTTTACAGAAAAACCAAGAGTGAATGAAGGTGATACAAGTGGAAATTTAGAGATGACTTAGTTGCACTAGGATTAATGCTGTTGAAGTTTTAGGTGAAACTTCTGTTCTAGTTTATGTAGTGGTGTTTGTACTTGATATTACGATTATATTAGGTTGTTTATGTGCACTAATATTTGTTTCAGTGGTATCTAACTTTGTTTGGTCATAAGGAAAGGAAAACTCATTAACTCAGGATATCATCATTATCCGTAAAAAGAAATAAATAGTTAACATAGAGCAATTTCGAGGCAATTTTCTTGGAAATAACTTTAAACTTTACATGATGGAAGAACTTTCTTGTTGATAATTTTAAATGCTTCAGTTAACTTTTGAGAGTCATTATAAGCTGAACAAGATGATGCCTCGTACTTCGAAGCTTGAATTATTTTATTCATGCTTCAGATTTCTACCCAACCTGTAAGTATCATACTATCTTTCAGCAAAAACCTCTAGAAATCTATGAAGTTCAGATGTTGAAAGTTGTGAGGCAAATTTGTTGCAAAATTTTAAACGTGTTACCAAACGTGTTTTCTGTTCAGTTTTTATTCTAAAATTGAAATCAGAACAGACTTTTGAGAATCTTTATCAGCTGGATGCCTCCTTAGATTATCAATCTCTTTCTGTCTGCAGAAAAAAATGAACTTCATCAAGTTGCTCAACAGGCTTTGAACATTGAAGATTTACTTCATGTCATCTGGACATCATTACTAGTCATGCATAAGCAGTGGGCTAATGCCATCAACATATTTCATGAGAAGCTTGATTTGCTGCCAAACCTTATTAGTGACCATGGCAAGTGGTACTGTTAATACAGAGCGGTAGATTGCGTTTCATTTTTCTTCATTTAACTGTTTTCGTTTGCTTATCTAGGTTTTGACTCTTCTTCTCAGGAGAAATTTTTGAGTCTTCTCGGTGGTGCGAGGACCAGTCCTGCTGTCCATCAGTTTCTTGTTAATTCTCTGGGTGAAGTGGTATGGCTGGTTTTTTAAGCTCCACTGCTGCTACGAGACTTTGGTTTTTTTTGGTTGGTTTTTATAATCTTAGTCTGCTAGTTTGTTCAGTGATAGGGTATGAAGTGTGTAACAAGTTGTTTGTGGTGCTGGAAAAGAATTTCGACTAGTTGTCCTCAATCATCTGCAGGTGCACGTTATTATCTTTGCATTTGGCCTTTTTTCCTTGATAAATAATTAAGTTTGTCGCATCTCAGAGGACAGTCTTGGAGGTGATTGGATAGAGATAGGAATTTGTTACAGGAAGTTATGCTTCGCACATCTTGAGACACGCCATATTTTTCAGAACATCCTGATGTTGATTCTTCATGCGAACATATCATATGCAATGATAAGAATTACCAACATTAAGTGGCTGGAAAGGGTGAAGTAAAATCTGATTTGAGTCTAATTCAACAAGTTGGCAATCTCTCCTATAAGCGTATAATGGAAATTGTAGGTCATTAATCATTTTGAACTTGAACTTGATCTAAGTTTGGGCTTTAATTGCACTGTACATGGAGATTTGGATATAGAATGTTTATACATTGGCATTATAATTAGCAGGTATAGAGATATGTTCTCAGTTTAAAAGGAAAGAGTTTATCGCCCGCTTCGATCTTAGCATATGTCCCCTCATAATTGCGAGAGTCAATTTTGTACCGAAGAATCATTTTCAACTCTTTTTACCTACCGATATTACTGTTAGAGCCTAGGAGAAGTTAGACTAATTTATACTACCAAATTCCACTCATTGAATTCGATGTTGTAAGTGAAACTCTTTTTTCCTGTATTAAGTTTACTGTTGACAAGCTAAGGATGAGAATGAAAACTCAGTTATATGAAGAAAATGAGTGGAAAACTAACTAGTGGGTGCTCGGATGACAGTGAATGGATCTTACATGGATCTAGTCTGTGATGCTTAACCACGGTTATGGGAGCCTCTGTCGACAATCATTTGTTTCGTGCTTGGATGTGAGAATTGATTATTTTATATTATTATTTTTTTATCATATCTTTAGATCACGATTTTTTATATAACACCTCTTTTTTGGAAAAATAATGCTAAGGATGTTAAGTCCTAGTATTGAAATTGGTTTACTAAGTCGCATGCCAGAGAGATTTGTGTTAGGTCTTTGTGACCTACTTACGTATTATATACTTGCATTTTGCTCCGTTTTTGGTAGTGTGTTGGTAGCTCTTTGGATCCAAAGTCTCTCTTGAACTTTTTAGATCTTGACTTTCAGTAGTAGCGGCACCATTTTGTCACGATGATCTTACTCGCAAAAGGAATTACAACTGTGAGTTAATAGAGTGTTTTTGCCGTCGATAAATGCATGGTATGTGGATGATGGTTATGCTGATTAGCACAAACTCATATGTGAAATGTTGATGTTGGTACTTGAAACTATATGATTAGATAACAAGTGTTGGAATAAAGGGTAATTGGAATTACTGAAAATCCTCATAAAACTGTAAGTTTCTTTTTATAGATTTTATAGTTCACCTGTAGGGCACCAAAGGGGTGCAACCCATATACAAAAGGAGCCCAAAAAACTAAAGCCAAATACAAAACAACTCCCAAAACCAAAAGGAAACTCAAATACCAGATATATCATTGACTAATCAACCAAGGGATTTTCATCCATATGCAAGTTTGCACTTTACCAAAAGTGTATGACTTTAAGCCAAATTTCCATAAAATAGAATGGACGATTTCTCTCCATCAGAAGCTCTCTTGTTCCGCTCCTTCCAAATCAGCCAAAAGACACGGGAATTGAGTTAAAACCTACTTGTTGTGGTGTAAATGAATTCCTTGCCATGCCCAAAGTTCTTGCTCAATAAAACCTCTGATAACTGAAGATAATATGGTGTAAGCATAGGAAACTGTCCAAACCATTCTTGTCCAAGAACAGTGAAGGAGGAGATGCAGCACGGACTTTGCCCCTTTTGCTGGGGAAACAACTGTTAACCAGTTTTTGCCTTACGTGACATTCCGAATTTCGGCCCATTTTTGGGATTTATAAAACGTGTAATTCGTCAGTGTGCTTATAGTAAAATCTCTCCCGGGAACTGATCACTTTCTGTTATTGTTTTTAAAATTGAGATTTCGTTAGAATCGCATTTGATCGAATTGGCCATTATGTAGATCCCGAACTTGGCAGTCAATTTCCGGGAGTTTCGGGACGAATTTAATTGGACGGTGTCAATATTATTGTGGCCGGCGTCAATATTGCCCGGGATAAGTGAAAAGTGAAATTTGGACCGGGTGCAGATTTGGACTAGTAGACCTCCCTCGTAGTGTGTTTTAGTTATTATCTTTTGGCTTTTTTCCTAATTTATAATTAGGCTTTTTCGTGGGCCGTTGGATCACTTTCGGATTTGAACGAGAATCGTTGGATCGCACTCAAGTGCGTTTGACTTTCTCTCTTTTCTCTCTCTCTCCTCCCCCACGTTGTTTCTGCCACCACTCTGCTGCAGCTTCTGCTTCACGCTGCTGCTCTGCCCATGCTGCTGCTGCTGATTACTTCTGCTTGCTGACCGCTGACACCCCTTCTTTCGCCGACTCGTTGACCTCTCCTCCTTGCCGACTTCCCTCGCGACCTGCCGCTGCCCACGCCTTTGCTGCTGCCCATGATGAACTTCACATGCCGCACGTTACGCCCTTTTACCGCTGCTTCTTCACTTCGTTGCTCTTTGTTTTCTTCTTCATTTTGCTTCGCTGCTTCTTGCTTTTTCTTGCTGCTGCTCACCAGACCGACCAGCTCCCTTGGTCAGCCACCCTCAGCCGCCGTGAGCGCCGCCACCCGCCGCCACTCATCTCAGCCACACACCACCACCGAGCTCACTCTCTCCCTTCCCTTCCATTCGTCCATCCCGTCACCACCACCACTCAGCATCACCAGCACCTTCGTCCATCTCCACCAGCCAACCACCTCAGCCGTCCGGCGACCGCTCGCCGCCGTCCAGGTCGCCGGAAATCGCCGAGCCATCCGTCCGACCGCCGGAGCAACTGCTGCTTGCTTGGCTTAGCTTTGTTAGACTCCCTAGCTTGAAAATCTTGCCTAGGCCTTGGGTAAGTGGCTTCCTAACCCTTGACTAGGCTAAGGGGTGACTAATGGACATGTTAGGGATGGTTTAAGGGCTGTGGATAGTTGGTTTAGTGGCTGGTTGTGCTTGGTTTGCTTGGTGGTGCTTGTTGGTTAATTTCCGGTAAGGTTGCTGCTGTGTCGCTGGATTTTGCTATTTTTACTGTGACTTGTGTGGGCCGAATTTGAGGAAGTGTTCTTCATGAAAGTTGTTCATAACATCTTGATGTTTTATATATATTAAATCTGGAATTTTTGGAGATCATTTAGTGCAGTGCCATTCGTAAGTCCATTTTTGGACCGAATTCAGTCTGCCGGATTTACTGTTCATCCGACCTTCTGGTCTTTCCGATTTTCTATAAATTTTTGTAGACATCTTTTCAACAAACTTCCTTCACGAAAATTTTTAAGAACATCCGTTTCTATAACATATAAAAATTTCAAGACTTTCCAAAATGATTTGAATACTGGATGAGATGCATTTTGATGGTCAGGCGGCCTGACCGGACGGGTTGAATTTTGTCTGATTTCAAGTGACAAAAAGAGGTGTTTATAGTAGGAACTGGGTTTCGAATTCTCACGGAAAATGTTTATCAAGATGTTTTATACAACATATACAAATTTCAGAATTTTTGGAGTTAATTTACTATTTATTTTAAAGGAAATTCGGTGACTATGTTACTGCCCAGTTTGGCCCCGATTCTGTGCATACTCGGTTTTTCTCTCTCTCGGGAACTGATTGGTGTTACCATGACATTTTGGTGGATTTAGTTGACATTGGGCTAATTTACAAAGATAAGAATTGGTAATGATTGTTGAGGTGTGTGCATGGTCACGACACGTTCCGTCTAGGCAGGAGTTCTAGACGATGCCCGACGGGAGTTCGGATGCCGTCTAGGCGGGAGTTCTAGACGATGCCCGGTGGGAGTTCGGATGCCGTCTAGGCGGGGGTTCTAGACGTTGCCGATCGCGGTAGAGGCCGGATCGATGCTCCTTTGTGGAATGCCGTCTGGGCGGGGGTTCCGGACGTTGCCGTCGCCGAAGTAGCGGGACGATGCCTGGTTACGCCAGAAGACCGGCAGGAGTTCGGTGGCCCAAGGGGACGTTAATCATCTGGACTTAATAAGTGTAACAGCTCGAATTTCGATGTAATTTCCGGGATCAATGAAACTGATATTATTTCGCATTTCATTTTAGTAAGTCTCACCCAGAGCTGATCACTCTCGGGATACTAACCAATAGGGTATGGCTAACTAGAAGATGGTACGTGGACCGGGGACCCTATCGTGAGACGGATACCAATCACGAGAGATGCTGAGGGAATATTTTGAACCGATGTGGGCCGATCTTAGGAAAGGTAACGGATTTGGTTTGGCCAGGGCCAACGTTGTACACTCGGATCGCAAGTGAATCTGCATGACCGAAAAGTACACGTGGCCAATCAGTCCTGAACCTAAACCGAACGATCGTAGCCTCTGGGGCTAATGATAATTTCTCATTCTCTCAATGATCGAGACCATTACGATACGGGTAGCCCTAGGTTGATACGCGTAATCTCTAAACTGCCGCCCGTTAGTGAGAGACCCTGAAATTGAAAGTTTAGCGGGTTTTGTTCACGGAATTGGGCCCGGATTTCGGTATCGATTTTCAAAGGCTTAAGAGACTATTTTTGGGAATCTGACGTCATATTACGCTGGCCACTCACATGAGGAGTTAGTACGAGTAAAAATTGGAATTTCGGTCCGGGGGTGAAAAATTACGATTTTGCCCCCGGGATGTCAGCGTCGCTTTTCGAGGCCAAATGAGGTTATTTTTCGTGGCCGACGTCATTTTTGGGTGGCCACGCATACCAGGAGTCGTTTTGGACAACAATTGGAATTTCGACAAAAATTGGAAAAATAATATTATTTTATTCCCGAAACTTTGACGTGGATTTTCGAGGGCTTACGCGATGAATTTCGCGATTCCGACGTCATATTATGTTGGCCACGCATATATGGAACGCGTATGTGCGAAAATTGGAATTTCGGTTCGGGATCGGAAAATTACGAAAATGCCCCTAGGCCATTTTTGATTAATTCCGAAAATTGGATTTAATTTTGGGATTAACCAAGGTGAGTTAAGGTTAAACCAGGTCTGGTCAACCATGGTTAGGGGACAAAAGACCATTGTACCCCTAAATTATTGGATTTGATCAAATCTAGTCCATTAGATCAAGGGTAAAATTGTCAAATGGGCTTGGATAATGACACTTGGACTCCACTAAGACTATCTTTGACCCATTTGACCATACCCTCTCTCTCTCCTCCAGCCATTCTGCCGAGAGCTTCCCCATTTCCCCCAAATTCTTCTCCCTTTTCTTCCGTTTCTCGGTTTTGCCGTGCACTTTCGCAGAGTTCAGTGCTGTTCACGCCAGGAACAGTACCGGCGAGTCTTGTCCCCCGCCGAGCCGGAACCACCAGCAGCTAGTTCCACCTGCGTGCAGCCACCAGGCCCGGGTATAGCTCAAAACAGCTCTCTCTCTCTCCTTTTTCCCTCTTTTCTCATTTTTCTGTTTTACAAACAGATCACGGAGCTTCGCCGGAGCTCCGATCGCGTTCCGTCGACACCCGGGCCTCCAAGACGTCCATACGTCGCCGTTCAGCCCGTCCGTACAGTGACCATACGGTTACTGTTCACCGTCCGTACGGTCACTGTTCATCCAGACCCGTACGGCTGTCGCGCGCCGTGACCGGCGCCTCGCCGGCCATCGTTCCCAGCCGTCCGTACAGTGTGTCCGTACGGTGGTACTGTTCATGCGTCCGTACGGAATCACAGTTCACCCGTCCGTACACCGCGCGCCGTCCGTCGGGAATTCCGCCGCCGGTTTCACTGTCCATCAGTGATCGGCCGCCATTCCCCGTCGTCGTGACCCTTGTTTTGGTGAGTAAAATTCCTAAACCCGGATTAGGACTGATAGTGCATTTTTCCTGGACTGGTTTAGGTATTATCGGTGCATTTTTGACTGGCTTAGATAATAGCAGTGTGTATTTGAGACTGGGTTGA